CTTTATGCTTTGCTCTTTGCAAAATTCTTCGAGTGCTCCTAGAAATATAAAGGTAAACTTGATATAAACATTAAAGAAACCTGCAATTGAACACTTCCTTTCTTCTGCCATTTACTATTTACTGCCCAGTTACTAAATCCCGCAACTACTGCTATGTAATTTTTTTTTCTGACCCTCAACTGCAGAATATGCAATTTTTTTTAAGAGATGGCGGGGGGTCTCTCTATGTTGCCAGGTTGATATTAAACTCCTGAACTCAGGCAATCCTAATTACCCTGACTTGATCCTGTTAATGTATATATTTATTAAAACATCACTGTATCCCATGAATATGTACAACAATTACTATGTGTTAATTAAAATAAAACTTTAAAAAGACTGAGGATGGTGGTTCACGTCTGCAATCCCAGAACTTTGGAAAGCTGAGGGTAGGGTGGGGGGAGGATCATATGAGGCCATGAGCTCGAGACCAGCCTGGACAACAAGGCAAATCCAGTCTCTACTAAAAATATAAAATCAGCCAGGAGTGGTGGCACATGCTTGTAATCCCAGCCACTTACTTGGGAGGATGAGGCACAAGAATCGCTTGAACTTAGGAGGTGGAGATTGCAGTGAGCTGAGACAGCACCAATGCACTCCAGCCTTGGTGACAGGGTGAGACCTGTTCCCTAGCCCTAAGCCCCCACTTAAAAAAAAAAAAAAAAATACTAGACCGGGCACAGTGGCTCACACCTATAATACCAGCACTTTGGGAAGCCAAGGTGGGTGGATCATGAGGTCAGGAGTTCAAGACCGGCCTGGCCAATACAGTGAAACCTTGTTTCTACTAAAAATATAAAAAATTAGCCGGGTGTGGTGGCAGGCACCTGTAGTCCCAGCTACTTGGGAGGCTGAAGCAGGAGAATCACTTGAACCCGGCAGGTTCAAGTGAGCAGAAATCTCACCACTGCACTCCAGCCTAGGCAACAAGAATGGGACTCTGTCTCAAAATGAACAAATAAACAAACACTTAGGCCAGGTGCAGTGGCTCATGCCTGTAATTCCAGCACTCTGGGAGGCTTAGGTGGGTGGATTACTTGAGTTCAGGAGTTCGAGACCAGCCTGGCCAACATGGTAAAACTCCATCTCTCCTAAAAATACAAAAATTAGCCACACGTTTTGGTGCATGCCTGTAGTCCCAGCTACTCAGGAGGCCGAGGCAAGAGGATCATTTGAACCCAGGAGGCAGAGGTTGCAGTGAGCTGAGATTATGCCACTGCACTCTGGCCTGGGTGACAGAGAATCCATCTAAAAAAAAAAAAAAGGCAAGAAAACTAAACTAAACTAAAAGAAAAAAAGAACCCCATGCAAAGTCAGCTGAGAAAATAGGTTATGTGATTTTCAAAAGGTGATCAGAGGCCTCTGCTGGTACTTTCAATGGAGTCTAGTCTGAAAGAGGCAAATGGTGATCCTGTACCAATATTTCAATATTTAGGCTTAGGAAACTAAACTTTTTTTGTGTGTGTGCACCCTCTGCAGATTTTTTTTTTAACTAAAACATTTAAAAAATTTATTTGTGGCCTTAATGAAGCAAAGGAAACTAATTTTATTAATTCAATCAAGGTTGTCGGGACATTACAAGTTAAAAGAGACTGTTCATATACCATAATTTTTTTTTTTTTTTGAAACAGGTTTTCACACTGTTGCCCAGGCTGGAGTGTAGTGGCGCAATCATAACTCACTGTAACCCCAAACTCCTGGCCTCAAGCAATCCTCCCACCTAAGCCTCTTGAGTAGTTGGGACCATAAGCTCACACCATCATGCCCAGCTAACTAAAAAAAAATTGGGGGGGGGTGGGTCAGGTGCAGTGGCTCACGCCTGTAATCCCAGAACTTTGGGAGGCCAAGGTAAGTGGATCACGAGGTCAGTAGTTCGAGACCAGCCAGACCAACATGGTGAAACCCCACCTCTACTAAAAAATACAAAAATTAGCCAAGCATGGTGGCAAGCACCTGTAAGTAATCTCAGCTACTCAGAAGGCTGAGGCAGGAGAACCACTTGAACCCAGAAGGCGGAGGTTGCAGTGAGCCAAGATCCCATCATTGCATTCCAGCCTAGGGACAGAGCAAGACTTCATCTCAAAAAAAAAAAAAAAAAAAAAAAAATCTTTTTTAGAGACAGGGGTCTTGCTCTGTCACCCAGGCTGGTCTCAAACTGCTGGCCTCAAGTGATCCTCCCATGCTCATCTCCCAAAGCACTGGGGTTACAGTTGTGAGCCACTGTGCTGGGCCCATGATTCCAATTTTTGAGAAAGTAGAGAGAAAGGGATGCGTTGGGTAATAAGGATGTTATCTTTCCTAAAAAGAGACTGTTTGGGGAAGTAAAATAGTATCTGGTATTACCCCACACTTAAACTTTACACATCCTACTCTACCACAGGAGCAGGTAGCTTGGTGGTTCTACCACCAAAAGTCTAGAGAGCAACCTGACATGATGAGGTATATATTTGACTTTCTTTTCTTCTGACTTTGTAGACTACTTCCTGCCACAATTCTTGTTATGGCCAAAATGACTGTCTACATTAAGGGAGGAGACTCCTTGACAGTATAGGTTTTAAGACCACACATCAGCTGCTAGGAGACTAAGCCAAAGAAAAAGATTTTAGGTTGCCACTTCCTTCAAATCAAGGCCGCTTTACCTTTGAGCATTCTAGTCTCTCATTTACTTTGCAACTTTTCTGCAAGTTCTTCAAAGCTCTTGCCTCTTTCCTGCTAATATACTGGATATGTAAGTTCATATGAGCTGCTTACTATCTTGTTAATAAAATTTTCTGTCCTAAGGATATAACCCAATTACTAGGTATAATTTCAAATTCTCACAAAAAAAAATGTATGTAGTTCCCACTCATGTATAATTGATTAAATTTATGTCACTGTTTCTAGAATGGCTTAATTAGGGGAAAAATTTATACTCTATAATGCTCCCACAAATACTGCTATCCCTTTAAACTTCATCTATACTTATTGTCCCGTGACTTGATACTCAGGTTTTCTTGTCTTAGAAGTAATCGCATTTAATTAAGATCTTTCTTCATGACAAGATAGTTGTGTAATAACAAAAACTATTTATTGGCTTTTAAATTGCAATTTCAATTTTGCAACATCTCTGCACATCACTTTTGCAAACAGAAATTCCTAACAACACTTTGAGGTTCCCAAGTGTAAGAGACTAAATGCTTTTTGTTTTTGTTTTGAGACAAGGTCTTGCTCTGTTTGTTGTCTAGGCTGGAGTGCCTTGGTGCCATCATAGCTCACTGCAAGCCTTGACCTCCTGGGCCTAAGTGATCATCCTATCTCAGCCTCTCGAGTAGCTGAGACCACAGGTATGTGTCACTACATCCGACTAATTTTTTAATTTTTTGCAGAGACCTGGGAGGTGAATTGGGTGTCTCTGTTTGTTCCCCAGGCTGGTCTCCAACTCCTGGCCTCAAACGATCCTCGCACCTCAGCCTTCCAAAGTGCTGGGGTTATAGTTGTGAGCCATGGCACCCAGCCCAGACTAAATGTTTTTGAACAATTACTGAAAAAATAAATAATCTCATTGTTAGATAATGCCTATAGATAATCACCAACTTCCAAATGCTGGACTGAAGATTCTATCACATTACTTTAAGTGCAAAAGATAATCAACAAATGGAAAAGAAGATTTAACTGGATAAGCACGTTCTCTACATCTTTTGTATTGAAATCCTAATTTTAAACGAAGAAATAGGTGAGGTGGTGGTTCAAACCTATAATCCCAGTACTCTGGAAGCCCAAGGTGGACAGATTGCCTAAGTTCAGGAGATTGAAACTACAGTGAGCTATGATTGCACCACTGCATTCCAACTTGGGCAACAGAGTGAGACCCTGTCATTTATTCATTTGTTCATACATGCATATAGCATTCTACTTAAATAGGCAGATTAAAAAAAGATATTTATCTCAACTATCTTCCTAATCCTCAATTAAAAGCATATGAATAAAAAAGCTATAAATAAAGCCCAAAGACAGAAGAGGAAATAACAAATCAAAGATGTCAACAAAATATTGGAAAATAAAAAGTGAAGAGGCTGGGTACAGTGGCTCACAGATGTAATCCCAAGGCTTTGGGAGGCCAAGGTGGGATGATCTCTTGAGCCCAGGAGTTTTTGAGACCAGCCTGGACATCACAGGGAGACTCTGTCTCTACAAAAAATTTTTAAAAAATTAGCCAGGGGTGGTGGCATGTACCTGTAGTCCCAGCTACTTGGGAGGCCAAGGCAGAAGGACCACTTGAGCCAGGGGTTCAAGACCAGCCAGGGAACACAGTAACACCTTGTTCAGCAAAAAAGTAAGTAGCCGGGTGTGGTGGCATGTGTCTGTAGTGCTAGCTACGAGGGAGGCTAAGGTGGGCGGATTGCTTGGGCATGGAAGGTCAAGGCTGCAGTGAGTTGTGATTGAACCACTCCACTGCATTCCAGTATGGGTGACAAAGTGAGACCCTGTCTCAAAAAAAAAAAAAAAAAAAGCCTCCAATTTCTTGCTAGGGTCAAGCATAAGCCTGCCTATCAGCTTTCTGGATGTAACAAGCAGAATGAGAAATTATGTTCATTGATTTTGACCATATTTGTCTCCATTTGGCCTTTGTAACTGGTGCACTCACTCACCACAAAACACACAAGTGGTGTTTGGTATTTCTGAATCTGGAGCCTTCCCTGAACCTTAGCTACCTAGAGCCTCCAGTTTGGAACCATTACTGGGTTCTTGGTTCGAATCAGTTCACTTCTTGCTCCAACTTCATTTCACTTCTAGGCTGTTGCTTCTTCTGCATTGTTAAACCAGTTAAAACTCTTCCTCTACATTTCCTTCTCCCAAAAATGTAGAGAAGCTCGCTCTCTTTTTCTACGTTTCCCATTCTGTTCTTGAATGTTTATATCCATTTTATTCCTTTGCTATAATTTTATATGGCTTAAAAAGAAGTGGGGCCTGAAGGCACATACCTGTAGTCGCAGCTACTCAGGAGGTGGAGGAAGAAGAATCACTCGAGTCCAAGATGCTGTAGAAAAATATAATTATGCCTGTGAATACAGAGCATAGGCAACAGAGGGAGACCCCATTTCTTTGAAAAATTTGTGCTGTATCCAATTCTGCCTGTTACTTAATATCTTTGGGATGACAGAGCCTTAGGAGATCAAAAATAAACAAACAAAACAGAATAAATATATGGTCACTCTGTCATGTTTAACCACAAATTTGTAATCACAGTAAAAAATTCCTTATATTATAGAGCTTATATATAACAAGGGACAATAAAAATAATTAAAATATGTTTGAAAGTAATAAATGCATATTAAGATTAAGCAGGGCCAGGCAGAGTGGCTCACAGCTGTAATCCCAGCACTTTGGAAGGCCGAGGCAGGCGGATCACTTGAGGTCAGGGACTTAAAGACCAGCCTGGCCAACATGGTGAAACCCAATCTCTGCTAAAAATACAAAAAAAAAAAAAAATTAGTGGGGTGTGGTGGCAGGTGCCTGTGGTCCCAGCTACTTGAGAGACTGAGGCACAAGAATCGCTTGAACCCAGGAGACAGAGGTAGGGAACTGAGATCATGCCACTGCACTCCAGCCTGGGTGACTGAGCAAGACTCCATCTCAAAAAAAAAAAAAGATCAAGCAGGGTAGACTTTGCACTGAGATGATATCTGGGCCAGGATCTAGCAAATATGTGAATAAACGATGTGGACATGCAACGAAAACATAGATGTAAACCTCTGATATAGGGACATTCTTGTCATGCTTGGGAACAACAAGATGGAGACTGTAGACCAAGTGAAACACTGTCATATGCTGCTGATCAGAATATAAAGTGTTATAACCACTTTGGAAAACTTTGTTAGGGTCTTTTTTCTTTCTTCTTTTTTTTTTTTGAGACAGAGTCTTGTTGTGTTGCCCAGGCTAGAGTGCAGTGACACAATCTTGGCTCGCTGCAAACTCCACCCCCCGGGTTCAAGAGATTCTCTTGCCTCAGCCTCCTAGGTAGCTGGGATTACAGGCGCACACAATCACGCCTGGCTAATTTTTATATTTTTAGTAGAGAAGGGGTTTCTCCATATTGGTCAGGCTGATCTACAACTCTTGACCTTGTAATCTGCCCATCCTTGGCCTCCCAAAATGCTGGGATTACAGGCGTGAGCCACTGCGCAGGGCCCGAGCCACTGTGCACAGCCCATTAGGGTCTTATAAAGTTACTGACCATGCAAGTAATATGATTACAGTATGACCAAACAATTCTATTCCTAGGTAGTTACCCACCCAAGACAAACAAAAACATACATTCTGAAAGACTTGCACAAAAATTTTATGGCAACTTTATTCAGAGTAAATCCAAATAGGAAACAACCCAAACATTTAATAAGAGAAAATGTTTTAATAAATTATAGTGTATTCATACAATGCAGCAAAATAAAACCAACCAACAACACAAACAAAAAACCTTGGCCAGGCGCAGTGGCTCATGCCTGTAATCCCAACACTTTGGGAGGCTAAGGCTGGCAGATTACTTGAGGTCAGGAGTTTGAGACCAGCCTGGCCAACAGGGTGAAATGCCGTCTCTACTAAAAATATTTTTAAAAAATTAGTCAGGTGTGATAGCAGCCTCCTGTAATCCCAACTACTTGGGAGGCTGAGGCAGGAGAATCGCTTGAACTTTGGGAGGTGGAGGTTACAGTGAGTGGAGATCGAGCCACCGCACTCCAGCCTGGGCGACAAGCGCTATACTCCATCTCAAAAAAAAAAAAACAACCTCCTTATGAATACAAATAGATGAAACTCACATAATACAAAGTGAAACCAGACACAAAAATACATACTATGAGTGTCACTGCATCTATACCATGCTCTAGGAAAGGTAAATGTAATCTCTTGTGACAGAAAACACATCAGTATCAAATGGGTGAGGTGGTTCACACCTGCAATTCCAGCACTTTGGGAGGGAGAGGTGGGTGAGACACCTGAGGTGAGGAATTCAAGAGCAGCCTAGCCCACGTAGTGAAACTCCATTTCGACTAAAAATACAAAAATTAGCCAGGTATAGTGGCACACATCTGTAGTCCCAGCTGCTTGGAAGGCTGAAGTGGGAGGATCACTTGAGCCCAGGAGATGGATGTTGCAGTGAGCCAAGATCCCGACACTGCACACTCCAGCCTGGGTGACGGAGCAAGACTCCGTCTTCAAAAGAAAAAAAAAAGAAAACAGATCAGTACTGCTTGGGGCTGGGAATGGAGGTAGAAATGGTAGGGGGAAAAGTTAGTGATGGGAATTTCCATGTTTTGATTGTGGTGGTGATTATAAGACTTATGCATTTACCAAAACTTGTCAAACTGTACATTTATAACTGATTTAATTTATTGTATGTCAGTTACACCTCAATCAAGTAGGTTTTTAAAAAGGATTGCTCAGGTTGCTGTATAGAGAACAGACAGATATATATGAAACTAATCTAATATTAACAATGAACCATTAACCAATTAATATTTCCTTGATTTATTCTAAAAATGAATCCCAAATTCAGTTTTTCTTAGTAACAGCCCTGGCATATTAACAACACTGCTTTCACAACTGTATAATGCCTACTTCTATTTACACAAAATCTATAGGCAGTAACCTCAAAACTGTTACAGAAATAATAGAATGTTTTATCTGCAATTAAAAAGCACAAAGTATTTGCTGACAAATGCTCAACACTCTGGACGCTTAAAATGCATTTTTTTTACTTTTCTTTTTTTGAGACAGAGTCTCACTCTGTTGTCTAGGCTGGTATGCAGTGACAGTATCACTGTAATCTCCACCTCCCAAGTTCAAGTGATTCTTCTGCCTCAGTCTCCCAAGAGGCTGAGACCACCCTCTTGGGAGACTCACCACCTAAGCTAATTTTTTTTTTTTTTTTTTTTTGAGACGGAGTTTCGCTCTTGTTACCCAGGCTGGAGTGCAATGGCGCGATCTCGGCTCACCGCAATCTCCGCCTCCTGGGTTCAGGCAATTCTCCTGCCTCAGCCTCCCGAGTAGCTGGGACTACAGGCACGCGCCACCATGCCCAGCTAATTTTTTGTATCTTTAGTAGAGACGGGGTTTCACCATGTTGACCAGGATGGTCTCGATCTCTTGACCTCGTGATCCACCCGCCTCGGCCTCCCAAAGTGCTGGGATTACAGGCTTGAGCCACCGCGCCCGGCCCTTTTTTTTTTTTTTTTAATAGAGATGGGGTTTCACCATGTTGGCTAGGCTGGTCCTGAACTCCTGACCTTAGGTTATCTGCCCACCTTGGCCTCCCAAAGTGCTGGAATTACAGGCGTGAGACACCCAGCCTGGACAAAATGCTTTTTTTCCTGACCCTATTTTTTTTTAGACAAGGTCTCAATCCTTTGTCCAGGCCGTAGTGCTGTGGCCGAACACAGATCCCTGCAGCCTCAACCTCCCAGACTCAGGTGATTCTCCCACTTCAGCCTCTGGAGTAGCTGGGACTACTAGTGTGCCACAACGCCCAGCTAATATTTTGTAGAAAGGGGGCTTTGCCTTGTTGCCCTGGCTGGTTGCCAACTCTTGGGCTCAAGCAATCCTCCCATCTCAGCCTCCCAAACTGCTAGGGATTGCAGGCATGAGCCACTGCATTTGGTCCTAAAAACGCTTTGGCAACAGAGCAAGACTCCGTCTCAAAAAAAAAAAAAAGTGGCCAGCCATGGTGGCTCAAGCCTGTAATCTCAGCACTTTGGGAGGCAGAGGTGGGCAGATCACCTGAGGTCAGGAGTTTGAAACCAGTGTGGTCAACATGGCAAAACCCCATCTCTACTAAAAAAATTAAAATTAGCCAGATGCAATGGTGGGTGCCTATAATCCCAGCTACTCGAGAGGCTGAGGCAAATTGTTTGCATCCAGGAGGTGAAGGTTGCTGGGAGGCGAAGGTTGCTGTGAGCCAAGATTGCGCCATTGCACTCTAGCCTAGGTGACAGAGCGAGACTCCATCTACAAAAAAATTTTTTTAAAAAGCCATGCGTGGTGGCGCGTACCTGTAGTTGAGACTCTGCCTCAAAAAAAAAAAAAAGAAAAAAGCTTTTAAACTCATGTTTATCATGTGAGAACATTTAGGTTTAGGGAGCATTAAAATTAAATTTATAATTTGACATTTCTTTTTTTTTTTCTCCAAGACAAGAGTCTTGCTCTGTCACCCTGGATGCAGTTACACTCATAGTATGTATTTTTGTGTCTGCTTTCACTTTGTATTATGTGAGAGTCATCTACTGTATTCATAAAGAGGTTTTTTGTTTATTGAGTTTTTTTGAGACAAAGTCTCACTGTCGTTGCCCAGGCTGGAGTGCAGTGACGTGATCTCTGCTCACCGCAACCTCTGCCTCCCGGGTTCAAGCAATTCTCCTGCCTCAGCCTCCCAAGTAGCTGAGATTACAGGCATCTGCCATCATGCCCAGCTAATTTTTGTATTTTTGTAGAGACAGAGTTTTGCCATGTTGGCCAGTCTGACCTCAGGTGATCTGGCTGCCTCGGCCTCCCAAAGTACTGGTATTACAGGCATGAGCCACCGCACCCGGCCTGGGCTAATTTTCTTATTTTTAGTAGAGATGAGGTTTTGCCACGTTGGCCAGGCTGGCCTTGAACTCCCAGGCTCAAGAAATCCATCCACCTCAGTCTCCCAGTGATGGGATTACAGGATTACTGCACCTGGCCTTATTTCTTAAGTGAACAGTGGAAGAGCAGATACAATCCTTTCCTGACATAGTCCTTTTTTTCTATAGCAAATGTGTTTATATTTTCCTCCTAACACTTTGGTTTCAAGGGTAGGTGTGCAATAAATGAAGAGGGGAAAATACTTCTTTATAGTATAATGCAATAAATAAATGTAAGAAGAATAGCAGACTTAGATAGAAAATGACAATTTTGTAACCATTATAGGAAGAACTAGTTCAAGCAAATCACCAAGGTATGCTAAAACTTCTGGGTGAAACTTTATTTACAAATGAGATGTTTAAAAATCCATGAGAACACAGGTTACTACTTACTAATTACAAAGAAAAACCTGGTGGATACAATCTTATCTTTAGTGGGTGGATACAATCTTATCTTTGATGAGATAACATACTGATATTGGGGCGGAGCAATCAATACCCCAGGCAGGGTGTGGTAGCTCATGCCTGTAATCCCAGCACTTTGGGAGGCCGAGGCAGGCGGATAGCTTTGTTCAGGAGTTTGACACCAGCCTGGGCAACATGGCAAAACCCTGTCTCTACTAAAAATACAAAAGTAGCCAAGGGTGGTCGCACATGTCTGTAGTCCCAGCTATCTGGGAGGCTGAGGCAGGAGAATTGCTTGAACCCGAGAGGCAGAGGTTTGCAGTAAGCCGACATGGCACCATTGCACTCTGCCTGAGTGACAGAGGGTGACTCTGTCTAAAAAAAAAAAAAATATATATATATATATATATATCTCTGAAGTGGGCCAGGTACAGTGGCTCATGCCTGTAATCTCAGACTTTGGGAGGCCAAGGTGGGTGGATCACCTGAGGTCAGGAGTTCGAGACCAGCGTGACCAACATGGTGAAACCCCATCCCTACTAAAATTACAAAAAAATTAGCCAGGTATGGTGGCGGGCGCCTGTAATCCCAGCTACTCGGGAGGCTGGGGCAGGAGAATTGCTTGAACCCGGGAGGCAGAGGCTGCAGTGAGTCAGGATTGCTCCACTGCACTCCAGCCTGGGCAACAGACTAAAACTCCATCTCCAAAAAAAGAAAAAAATCTCTGAAGTGGCCTTTCATCAACAAGGTAGACTGAACTGATGCTGTCAGTTCCTCTTCCCAGTACAAACACATAAAGATGCAGACAAAGAGACAATAAAAGGCCAGGTGCAGTGGCTCATGCCTGTAATCCCAGCACTTTGGGAGGCCAAGGCGGGCGGATCACGAGGTCAAGAGATTGAGACCACCCTAGCCAACATGGCGAAACCCCATCTCTACTAAAAATACAAAAATTAGCTGGGTGTAGTGGTGCACGCCTGTAGTCCCAACTACTCAGGAGAATGAGGCAGGAGAATTGCTTGAACCCAGGAGGCGGAGGTTGCAGCGAGCTGAGATCGTGCCACTGCACTCCAGCCTGGCACCTGGCAACAGAGCGAGACTGTCTCAGAAAAAAAAAAAAAAAAAGACAATAATAATGTTCTGACACACAGCTGAACTAGAAAAAATGAAAAACTGAGATATCCCAGATTCTATAAAGAGTACAGTCAAAGCCACAGATGTAAGGGCAATCTGATGCCAGAGAACCAAGGCCTATGGGGGAAAAGGATTAGGTCCTTTTGACAAACACATAACAGTACAAGAACAGGGTTGAGATTTATGATCTTAACCTTATAGGCAGGTAAAGGCCCTGTACCCTAGATAAAGCCCCAGAGCCAAGTGTTCCTTTCCTGGATCACAGATACTCAAAGAATCCCGAAGAAGCCACAAAGAGGTTTGCCATCTATCATGGCAAGGCTGAGAGATGGGCAACTTGCTCTCAAAATATTAAAAGCACAAGGAAAAGAAGCACATGAATATAAGATACAAAATCAAATTACCTACGTGCATGATAAGGAAATGAAAACCCAAGAAATTAACCTAAAAATTAGTCTTGAAACACTGAAATCCCAAGAAACAGGTAGAAGCAAGGCTGGATAGCCTTGGGAGAAGCTGTCACAGTCCCGAATGAACAACCTGCTGGCAGTACACACTCCTAACTCTTCCCCTCAACTTTTAGATAGACAAATTCATCATTTTATAAACTACAGACTTCATGTAAAAAAAAAAATCAACAACTAAAAATAATAAGCAAATGTGGCTGGGTGCAGTGGCTCACATTTGTAATCCCACCAATTTGGGAGGCCAAAGCAGATGGATCATGAGGTCAAGAGATTGAGACCATCCTAGCCAACATGGTAAAAACCTCGTCTCTACCAAAAATACAAAAAAATTAGCTGGGTATAGTGGCATGTGCCTGTAGTCCGAGCTACTCAGGAGGCTGAGGCAGGAGAATCGCTTGAACCCGGAAGGTGGAGGTTGCAGTGAGCCAAGATAGCACTACTGCTCTCCAGCCTGGCGACAGAGCAAGACTCCATCTCAAAAAAAAACAGCAAATATTAGAAGCTACATATGTGAGATAGACTAGGCAAACTAAGAAGAAATCTGCTT